TATTATTATTATTATTATTTAAAAGAACAAACACCACCTCAGCTCTATCAGACGGCTCTCAGGTTGTTTGTAGTTTTACTTTCTATTCTGTGTCTGGGACTTTTTTTTTCCCTTTTAAATTCCTTTCTGGCATAGATTCTATTGCTTCATGGAATTTGGGGTGAAACAAAGTAGAGGAATGTTTATTATCTTTTTGAAATCATAAAACGGGGAGTCATATTTCACGCCGATTGTCAACTGCAAAACGGTGGCCTTTGTCGTAGTTTTTAGTTCTGAAATCGTCATTTTGTTGGGGTTTGGGGATTTAAGAAAAATCGTTTTCGTTTTTGTTTAAATCTTTTTTTTAAACATTTCTTGCTCACGTGTAGGCGTGTCTGTGTAGGAACTTGTTGCTTCAAAAACAAAAGTCATTAATGGTTGGGCCTGGTTTTCAGCCACGTAGCATACAAGTCTTTGATAAGGTTTTGGCCCCAGTTGTCTGCTGTATAATAACACTACCAGAGTTTTGTGTTTCATCTCAGCAACTTCTAGTCGGTCTCTGTAATCAAAAATGAATTTGAGAAAATGAGAAGCCTTTCCTGGGGTGAAACTGTTGTGTGTTTGGTTTCTTACTGTCTAAAGTCATCAGAATTCGTCTATGATAATAATACAGATTTAAAACTGTAATGTGTCATTTGATAGTTTGGGCAATTTTCAGTCCCGTTAGTTTGACTTCGTTTGACTTCTTAAGTTGAAAATGAATAATAAATTCGTTTCTATAATAATCTTTTACAATGCATACCTGAAATGTTACCATGCACCCCCCCCCCCCTTGAAGAAGACAGCTGAAAGTACTGTTTAATGTACACTTAAAAAAAAAACAACAAAAAAAACCCCAAAACAAGCAAACAAAATCGAAGACAAAGCAAAACATAACGAACATAAATTAAATAACAAAGAACTGAAATAAGTGCGGGTTTTAAGTAGATCTGTCAAATAAAACCTTCAATTTGATTTTTTCTCACTTCTTTAAGTTTATTTGGGGCTTTTTTTTTTCTCTCCTTAAATCTAAAAGTACTATATGATCGATCGCCCGCGAGACAGAATTTGGTATACCGGATCAAATACTAAAAAGATTGGCCAGATCCAGTGAACTTTTAAATCAGACAAGTTTGGCAGCTGAGTGGACGAATAACTTTTTATTATTGTTGTTTTTATTATTATTACTATTATTATTATTATTATTATTATTATTATTATTATTATTATTAATTAATTGATTAATTAATTATTTA